GTGCAGGCTTATCCCGATGACTGAAATACAGACCTTTACAGAGAAGTGCAACAATTTCATTCTTACATGAGAACTAACTTTACAGATTCAGGAAAGACAAATATTACTCATGTAGGCATGTGTGATTCCATAATGGAAGATAAAATACAATGCGCATTTCCCGATGTTGAAATTGCATTATGCATATTCCTGACTTTAGTGATCACAAACTGCGCAACAGAATGCTCATTTTCATCTCTAAAGAGACTCAGAAACCCTCAGTGTACAACAATGATTCAAGAAAGACTCGATTCATTATGCTTATGTGTGGAAGTAGCTATTATTTGGCAGCTTAACTGTGGTGATATTATTGAAAAATTTATAAGAGCAAAGGATAGAAAAAAATGTTTTTGATTATAAAATGTTAGAGATGAAAGATCTATCTAAAAATAAAATATAGTAATTTATTGTAATATTTGTTTTCTGATCATTAAATTTTCTTTTATCACATCGTTCCTTTTGTTCATTTATAATTATAGCATTTATGATGAAACAAACATCAAAACTGAAGTATGAGCCATTTAAAGCAAAATTAATGAAAGTCCATTTTTCGTTGTGGGAAATCAACAGAATTTTACATTGAGTGTTCAGACAACTAAGTTCACTGACTCATTTTCTTTTTTGTAGAATATGTGGAATATTCTTTTTGCAAAAAATGTGGTATATAGTAAAAATCTTAGTACCTCACATCCACTAAAAATTTTATAATCTAGTTCATCTCATTCCCCTAAAATGACATACACCGTTTTTGCATTCAATTGCTAGTATTACGGTCGCATTTAAAAAGAAGTTACATCCAGGATAGCTAAGACACACACACACAAATTTATATGTAACTCACATATCCAGTTCGAATGCGTGTATAAGCAGAGGAGGGGGCACCACAGATTATCAGTGTTTAAGGCCCTCACATGCCTTAATCCAGCCCTGCTCATAATCCCTAAAGTAACCATCAAAAAAAGTAATGCAGAAAGGTCCAGCTAAAAGGCCAGTAGATTAAGTAAAAAGAATTCTAAAAAGATTCACTTAATCAAAAAGAATGTAAGAGAGGAATAGGGAAACAAGCAAAAATGATGAGACAAAGATCCAAACATGATGCAACAATACAGTTATCATCCCAATTAATGTTGAAATATTGAAAGTATTTCTCCTTGGGTCAGGAACAAGGCAAGATGTCCACTCACTTCTGTTCACTACTGCTCTGGAGATTTTAGACATTGCAGTTTGGCAAGAAAATATAAAGCTATAAATATCTGAAAGCAATAAGTTAATCCATCTCTCGTTGCAGATGATATGATTTTTTATGTAAAATATCCCAAGGAATAAGCAAAACAAGACCAGAACCAATAAGTGAATTTAGCAGGTTATAGGATAAAAGATCATTGTGTTAAAAAATTAATAGTATTTTTATATACTAGCAGGAATCAACTGGAAAATTACATTTTTTACATTTCCATTTACAATAGAATCAAAATATAAAGAATACTGAGGAATCTCTTTAACAAAAAACATTCAAGACCTCTACACTGAAAACTCAACATTGCTGAGAAATAAACAATTTAAGATAGATCATGTCATGGATTGGAAGACTCAACATTGTTAAGATGGCATTTCTCCTCACGTTGATTCACAGACTCGAGACAATTCTAGTCAGAATCCCAGCAGACTTCTTTTTGTCTGATGTAAAATTTATATATGGGTCTGCCAACAATCTAGAATAACCAGAACAATCTTGGACGAAAAAGAGCAAAGTTCGAAGACTTCTATTCCCTGACTTGAAGACTATAGTAGCTACCTTACAGTAGTCAAGTAGTCAGGACTTCAATAGTCAAGACAGTGTAGTATTAACATAATAGTTGGCAAATAGGTCAACATAAGGATTGGCAAGTAGATCAATGGTACAAAATAAAGAACCCAGAAAAAGACCCATGCATTTATGGTCATTTGATTTTGGGCAAAAGCGCCAAAAAGCCAATGTAGAAAGGAGTCTGTCTTAGTAATCTCATGCTGCTGTAACAGAAATACCACAAGTGGATGGCTTTAAAAGAGAGAAATTTATTCTCACAGTCTAGTAGGCTCCAAGTCCAAATTCAGGGCATCAGCTCCAGGGGAATCCTTTCTCTTTCTGTCAGCTCTGGAGGAAGGTCCTTGGTCTGGGAGTTTCACGCAGGAACCTCAGGTCTAAAGGACGCACTCTGCACCCAGCATTGCTTTCTTGGTGGTATGAGGTTCCCATGTCTCTCTGCTTGCTTCTCTCTTTTATATCTCAAAAGAGATTGGCTTAAAACATGATCTAATCTTGTAGATTTCATCCATATAACTGCTGCTAATCCATTTTATTACATCATAGTGATAGGATTTACAACACACAGGGAAATCATATCAGATTACAAACTGATAGATGATCATATAGTACTGGAAACCATGACCTAGCCAAACTGATACACACATTTTTGGCAGGACACAATTCAATCTATGATAGAGCCTTTACAACAATTCGTTCTAGAGTAACTTGATATTCATGTGGGGAAAAAGTAAACCTCGACACTTACCCCATGCCATACACAAAAATCAATTTGAGACGTGGCTGATTTCAGATAATGTAAATTATCTGGATAACGTATCAATGCAAATTTATGAAACTGATAACTGTGAATTTTCAATTGAATATTCCTATTCTTAGGAAATTCATACTGAAATGTCAAAATATTTAGGGGTAAAAGGCCATAATATATGTATGACTGTGGGGTAAAGGACCTAATTTTACCCTAAGTAAGGTGGCCTTTGTCTTTGGCTCTGGAGAAATAACTACTGGAGAAATTGGGGTGGCTTGGTCCGGGGCTTCCAAGCCACACCTAAGAATTTGTGCTGGGAGTGAGGGCTGGCCAGACCAGAAAAGACTTAACCTGTGAGGCTGATATTAACTAGCCTCAGGAGGCATGATTTAGCCTATATCATGCAGGACTCCCAACGCGTCTGTCAACTTGTATTGTGGTGGCTTGCATGTTGCCGTGATGCTGGAAGCTATGCCACTGGTATTTCAAATACCATCAGGGTCACCCATGGTGGACAAGTTTTAGTGGAGCTTCCAGACTAGGAAAAAAGGAACTGGCAGTCTACTTCTGAGAAAATTGGCCAGTGAAAATCTTATGAATAACTATGGGACATTATATGATATAGTGCCGGAAGATGAGTCCCTCAGGTTGGAAGGCACTCAAAATATGACTGGGGAACAGCTGCCTCCTCAAAGTAGAGTCAATCTTAATGATGTGGATGGAGTCAAGCTTTTGGGATCTTCATTTCTGATGTGGCACAACTCAAAATGAGAAGAAACAGCAGCAAACAGCCATTAATAATCACAACATGGAGTGTACAAAGTATGAATCTAGGAAAATTGGAAGTCATCAAAAATGAAATGGAATGCATAAAGATCGATATGCTAGGCATTAGTGAGCTGAAACGGACTGGTGTTGGCCATTTTGAATCAGACAATCATATGGTCTACTAGGCCAGAAAGGGCAAATTGAAGACGAATGGCGTCGCATTCATCGTCAAAAAGAACATTTCAAGATCTATCCTGAAGAAGAAAGCTGTCAGTGAGAGGATAATATCCATACACCTACAAGGAAGACCAGTTAATAAGACTAATATTTAAATTTATGCACCAACCACTAAGGCCAAAGATGAATAAATTCCAACTGTAACAGTTTTAGATTAATTAAAGCTTGCTGTGTCCTCTTCCCTAAAACTAATGCATTGAAAAGTACATTAAAGGTCAGGAGTACAGAGTTGTTAATACTACATTTACTGATCATCCATCCATGTACAGTATAATCTTTGGCAACTTTTTTTTCTTTAATCTATGAAAAATAAGAGCGATGGCTTCTTTTCACCACTTATTTCACTGGAATATTATGATGACTGTTAAAATACGTGGAATTTGGGTTTCTTTTTTTCCCTTCTTTCCTTCCGTTCTCCCTCTCCCCCTTTCTTTCTCCCTTCTTTCCTTTTTCATTTCTGAGTTTTTGAATAGAGAGAAGACTATTGGCAATTGCCAGAAAGTGATTCCTAGGAATGCTAAGGTATCCAAATAATAGCATACACTGGGCATTGGGGCCTTAAGGATCCATCAGCTCCATCAGCTGTGAAGTATTAAGAGATATTCTTCCTGTGCAAGACTAATTTGGCTTCCACATCCGAGATGTTATGTCTACACAGGTTCCTGGCACTGCCTAAAGTCCGAAACTGTAACTAGACCTAAATATTTCTAATTAACATTCTTTTTGTCAGAGGGGCACAATCTTCCCAGTTAAAGAAATGTGTGTGTGTGTGTGTGTGTGTGTATGAACCATCATTTTAGTAATTTCTTTTAAAAAATTTTATTGTGATAAAGTATATATAACATAAAATTTGCCATTTTAATCATTTTAAGTGTATAGTTCAATGGCATTAATTACATTCACAGTGTTGTGTAACCATCACCACTGTCTATTCCCAAAACTTTTTCATCACCCCAAAATGAAACTCAGCACCCCTTAAGCAATAACTACCCATTCCTTTTTCCCCTCAATCCCTCATAGCCATTAATAAAGGTTTGTGTATGCATTTGCCTATTCTAGATATTTCGTACAAGTGGGATCATGCAATACTTGTTCTTTTGTGTCTGACTTATTTCACTTACCATATGTTTTCAAGGTTCATCCATGTGGCATCATGTATCAGAACTTCATTTTTCTTTATGGCTAAATAGTATTCCATTGTATATTTACACCACATTGTGTTTACGCCTTCATTTATTGATGGACATTTGGATTGTATCCACCTTTAGAATATTGTAAATAATGCTGCAGTGGCCCATTGAATGGACTTAACACCCTTGTTGAAAAGTAATTGGCCACAGATATATGGGTTTATTTCTGAGTTCTCTATTAGTGATTTCTTTTTGTGTTGAATTGTTACAGTTCTCCACACAAGGAGATGCAAGTCAGGTGATTGGACCTCTTACCGAAGGGCAGAGAAGAAATGTGGCAGTAGTGAATTCACTGTATAAGTTACACCAGTCAGTAACAAAGGTAACCTTTATCTTGCTTTATTTTAATGAAGCTCTTTTGACTTAACTTCAGGTTCATCTTGCATCAAATTTAGACAGCTTATGAGTTACTATTCCAGTTTTTTTTTTTTAAAGAATGCAGCAATGAAAATACGATAATTGTAAAATAAGCTTTTACTTTCATCCTAGCCTTTACTATTTGTGTGACTTTTTGTCTGTACATTTGGTTGAAAATGCATGAACTGTAGATTCTCAAGTTTTGGTTTGTATTCTCAAATTTATTGAATAAATGAGTCAAGGTTAAAGCATATGTGTTTCATACTTATTGAAAAGCATAATTGAATATTGTGTGGATGGTAGTAAATTTTAGCAAAGCTAATGACAAAATAAGAATTCTTAAGCCTTCGAGCATATCAAAAGATTTCTGTCTTTGCACAAAAACTGGGGAAAGGAGTGGCTTTAAAAACTGAATTTTGATGATATCATTAATGACTACTTGCAAGAAAAGCCGTTCTACTAGTATATTTGAAAGAAAAGGCTGAACTTTAACTTGTTTGCCTTCATTTATTATGTCTAAGATGAACTCTTCATAATTACTAGGAAATCAAACTTTCAACCCAATCTTTGACTTTGAGTAGCTTGCATTTAATAATTCTCTATAGAGCATTTTTTAGTAAGTAGGGAGATAAATATTTAAAAGACCTGAAGGAAGTTCACGGTTAGATGATATTCTTGAAAACTTGATCTCTAATATGAAGTTAAATATGCTAGGTTGTATTTTAGAATAATTATAGGTAACTATTGATCAGTTATTTAAAAATTTTAACAAGTCCATTAATCAATTAGGAGTTTCTAAAATGTATGTTTCAAATACTCAACAAAATATATTTTAAAGGGTATTAGTAGGTATATCTTAGGAAAATAAAATTATAAAAAAATTAAATGTTGCATTTTCCATTTCCTTTATTACTCTAAAGCACCACAAGCAATGAAAGATTGTACTTTAGCCTGATTTAATGTCTCTATTGATACTTTCAGAATTTTTATAATGTTTATATTGATTTGTAAAAAGGGAGATGTCTGACATTTGTATTTTAAAGACTTGTTGAAAATTAGAGTCAGGCTGGAATCCCATGTGAAAAGTGAATTTTTAAAAAGAAATAAGTAAATATGGCTTTATACTGACCTTTTCCAGTTATACTTTATACTGAAAACCTATCTAAAATGAATAAAGGAAAACTCTTAGTGTTCTTAATGTTTCAGTTATTTGAAGTATATATTTGCTTTGTACAGTAAAGTATTTTCCAACCTATCTTTATTAATAAATTCCAATGAGTTTATAAAACATGTATGAGATATTACTATAAGGTAATGATAATATTTTATATGTAGCTTTTAAAAATAACTATCATGTTATGATCAAAATTAGTATTACAGAAATAAGTGACTTAAGCAAAACTGTAAGTGTATTAAAACCTTGTTCTAGGTGGTTTCCAGTCAGAACTCATTCCCACCAGCAGCTGAGCAAACTATAATTTCAGCCCTAAAGGTAAAAGAATGTAATTTAATCTTTGACTGTATAGATCAAAGTGGATTTTTTGTTTGGTTGAATGGAAGATGTCACATTTCAAAAATAATTCAGAATCCTCTAGATATACCAAAAGTAGTATGTTGATAATATCATAGAGAGAATACATTTGTGTTTATATTTCTATATGATTTAAAAATAGAGTTTAAAAATAGACTCCGTTGGTGTCTACAGATTGTGTTCTACTTATGATAATTGAATACACAGAAGCAAGAGTTTTATAAGTATTCACTGGGCAATGCAACCCAGTATTATTCCATTAAAGCAGTGGTTCTCCACCAGGGGCGATTTTGTCTCCTGGGGGACATTTGGCAATATCTGGAGACATTTTTGATTGTCATGACGGGGAGCAGGGTGCTACTGGCAGCTGATAAACACCTTGCAATGCCTCGGACAGTCAGTAGTGCCAAGGGTGAGAAACTCTACTTTAGAGTTTATTTGTAAGGTGTAAAATCAAAGTATATTGTCATTGTTTTGATATACTAACATAAATATACCCCTTTACTAATATTCAGGAAGTTAAAAAAAAATAGTATTGGTATGAGATTTAGAGCCATATGCAATTGACAGTAGGTAACTTTAAAAAAACAAGCAAATCATTCTTTCAACAGTAGTGGCTATCTTTTATTTATCACCCACTGTTTGCTAGGCACATGCAATATATTGAAATATTATACCAACCCTTCAAGTTATATATTATTATCCCCATTTAACAAGATGTAGAAATAATAACTTACCCAAGGTCATATAGCTGGTAAACAGCTGGACTGAGGTGTAAACCCACAGCTCATTAACTCAAAAGAGTCGTATCTACTACACCTTGCCACCATCATTCATTCATTAATTTACTAAATATTTATTAAGTACTTCTTACTAGAGGCAGTATAGTATAGTAATTAAGAGCATGGACTCTGGAGCTAAACTACCTGGAAATGAATGTCACCTAAGCTATTTAACTAGCCAAATGACCTCAGAGAATTAATAAACTCTCTTGGCTTAGTTTATGCATCTATAAAAATGATACAATATATGTACACAAAAGTAATAGATGTCAACTATTAGTTTGGATTTACATCACTGAGAGATAGTTAAAAAAGATGAGAGCCCACAAAACTCCAAGGAGAAACACTTATCTTTAGAGAGTAAAGAGGATACAAAGAAAGAACCATTAGAGAGAGAGGAAGAGAATTGGGAGAGTACAATCTCATAGATTCTAAAGGAGAAAGAAGCTTCTGAAGTCAATGGCCAGCCATAGTTACATGGCTGAGGATTTAACAGGCCTCAGAAACTTAAGGACACTAAATTCATATCTGAATGGATTTGACTCATTGAAGCTAAAAGAAGGATTTCCCATAGCATGGTAAAAGTACGCTTGGGTGTTTTCTTGTATTCTTTTCTTTTCTCCAGTGTGCTCATCTCATGATTAAATATTATTAAAGCTTCCATAATAAAATAATTGTTTTTAGTATGAGTTATCAAAGTTATTGATAATCATAAACATATACAATTGGGCCAGTGTGGCAAATCAAAAGATCTTAACGTCCTAGTTTCCAGAAGCAGATGTAGTCTCCTTTTCTACAGTTCCAGATTTTTTCCCCTATCTTCTAGTAGCTATCAAACCTTTTTTGTCACTACTCAGAATAAGAAATACATTTTACTTCCTGACTTTGTTCACAATACATAAGCATTTACAAATATATGCACACATATGTAATTGCATATATACATTTCTATAATTGACACAAAATTTCACAAACAATACTTATCCTTATTTTGGTGATACACTCTGATGTTTTCTAGAAAATATTAATCTATTACTTTTTAAAACATTCTGATTGTGACCCACTAAAATAATTTCCTTACTCACAAATGGTCACAACCTTGTAGGTTAAGACAAGGTCTTCAGTTTGCCTGATGATAAAAATCATCTGGAAAAGTTAAAAATAGAAATTCCCCAGAGACTATAATTGAGTCTAGGGTGGGCTCTCTGAATATTTATTTTTAACATACAACAAAGGTTATTCCTATTATTAGTGACTTTGATTGGGAGTTGGAGCCAGTGCAGGGAAAATTGCCTTGATTTTGGGCTCCAGCCACGACTCTGAGGTTTGCTCAGCAGGACCATTGCTGTGTGTAGCTGGGTGCTGCAGTTTGTTGAGGCATTGCTGATTTTGCCCTTGAGAACTAGGTAAGAGAAGACTAGCAATAAGTCCAAGGCCCCCCTGCAGTGGCCCTGCCAGTTAGAGACTTAGTTGCTTATGTTAAAAGAATTCAATGAAACAGTTTAGACTTTATTTTTTAGTTAAATCTTATTTAAAAAAAATTATGACATATTAAGTAAAAACAAAATAAAACCCTCTGACTTAAAGGAAAAAAAGAGAACATGGAATTTCATAAAATTGTAGGAAGCATTAAATCATTTTGAATTAGGGATAGAATGTTATGCCACATAAATGACTGTAGCTCAAAATTAGTATGCTTTCATTATTTGGTAAGATAGTAAGCATACTTTTTTTTACTTACTGAAAAAAATAGGTACAGGTATATAATAGTCTTTTCTTCTCTAACTTGTTGAGACTTTATCCAAAATTAAATGTTATTTTAGGCTTGAGACTCATCATCACATATTATGAACATTATCTAATATGCCATGTATGGCATTATTACTATTAATGAATATGCATTTGGAGTCATTTCATTCTAACCATGTTGACTATAAATGGTCTTGAACACCTTAACCCAGTAGTTTTGTTCCTTTTTTGCTCAGGTGGTCTTGTGCAGATAGTCATTGAATTGCTAAGTTTATGGTAATGCTTTATTTCTCCCTTATTGTGTGGGTTTGATGTTCTACAGAGGGAAATATTCCATATTGCTAAAGCTCCAATATATTTATCTTAACTATTTTTAGGTAAATCTTTTTGAAATATGTAACACACTTGTCTTAGTCATCTAGTGCTGCTATAACAGAAATACCACAAGTGGATGGTTTTAACAAAGAGAAGTTTATTTCCTTACAGTAAAGTAGTTAAAAGTACAAATTCATCACGTCAACTGCAGGGGAAGGCTTTCTCTCTCTCTTGGCCTTCTCATCAGTGTTCCCCCGGACTAGGAGCTTCTCGGTGCAGGGACCCCAGTCCAAAGGATGCGCTCTGCTCCTGGAACTGCTTTCTTGATGGTATGAGGTCCCCAACTCTCTGCTTGCTTCCCTTTCCTTTCATCTCTTGAGAGATAAAAGGTGGTGAAGGCCACACCCTAGGGAAACTCCCTTTATGTTGGGTCAGGGATGTGACCTGGGTAAAGATGGTGTTACAATCCCACCCTAATCCTCCGTAACATAAAATTACAATCACAAAATGGAGGCCAACCACACCGTTCTGGGAATCATGGCCCAGCCAAACTGAATACACACATTTTTGGGGGGACATAATTCAAACCATGACAACACTTCCCTGCTGTGTAAAGAACATCTGAAATATAACCTAATCTCTTTTTGATGTCTAAAAGGAGTTATAAACTCCATACTTTCTCCTGCAGAGGATACTCTGGCATCTCAGTTTCCTTTGGTGGTTGCTAATCCTCAACCCATACTTTAAACAAAGGCATTCCCTAAGATGCTGTCTTCTCTTCCTGTTTCATATTTTCCCAAAGCTGTATTTTCACACAGCTATAAAGTTTTCTATGTAAGCCATCATACCATAGGTAAACAGAGACAGTTTTACTTCTTTCTTTCTGATCGTTATACCTTCTTTTTCCATGTGTTGTCTCACTGGCTAGGACCGCTAGTACAGTGATGAATATAACTGGTGAGTGGACCTCCTTCACTTGTTCCTGATCTGGTAGAAAGTGTTCAGTATTTTACTATTTTAAGTATGATGTTAGCAATAGGTTTTTCTTAGATGGCCTTTATCAGGTTGAACAAGTTCCCTTCTATTCTTAGTTTACTGGGACTTTATCATAAATGGCGTTGAATTTTATCATATACCTTTTTCTGTATCTATTGAAATAATCATATTATTTTCTCCTTTATTCTGTTAATAAAGTGCATTAAATAATTTATTTTCAAATATAAAACCAATCTTGGTCATTATTTATTACTCTTTTTATGATTTCCTGAATTTGATTTACCTAGATTTTTGTTAAGGATGTTTACATCTACATTCATAAGACATATTGGTATGTATCAATATGTAGTTTTTTCTTGTGTTATCTTTGTTGAGTTTTGGTATCAAGCATATAGTTGGGTCTTGCCTTTTTATCCATTCTGAAAATCTCTTCCTTTTAACTGGAGTGTTTAGTCCATTAACGTTTAATGCACTTACTGATATGGGTCATCTCAGGGTTGGTATCAGTTGATTGTCTTTTCTCTTGAGAAGTGGTGACATTTCCTAGCTCTTTGTATATTTATTAGTTCTCACTTATATCCTGGACACTGAATGTTATGTTGTATAGACTCACTATGTTTTACATTGCTCCTAAGAGTGTTGATGTTTTTGCTTTAGAGACAATTAACTTGATTAGCTCAAACTGTAGATTGTCATAAGTGCAGTTGTTCATACCTCAAATCTCAGTTCAGTTATTTAAGCCCTAATTGCAAGCTACTTTTAATTTGCTCTGTACATGCACAGAAAATGAGTCAGCTGAAGACTAATGCTGAGTTTAAACACAGATTTAGGCATTCTTCTCCGGCTCTCTTCTTTCTGAGGTTCTCTCACTCTCCAGTAGCCCTGGTTGACGCAGGGCTCATTCTTAGTGTTTCTGTAACCTGAAAGACAGAAGTTTTGTTTGTTTGTTTGTTTGGCGTTTTAGCCATCCAGCCTTGCGACTGTCATGACTATAGCCACCATTAGAGCAAAGCCACAAAAAATATAAAACTCATTCTGTTCTGGTTGCTTGCTTTAGGTCTCTGCAGCCCTCTAAAACTACCTGTTTTTCTTTTTTTTTTTTTTTTTTTCTTTCTCCAGAGATCCTCCAGTAGATTTTTGTTGTTGTTATTTTCTTTATTTGTTTTATTTTATTTTATTTTTGGTATGTTTTCTGGAGTTATTTGCGGGAGATTCTGTAGTTAGACACTCACTCCTTCATACTGAAAGTGGAAAATCTACTCTTCCTTCTTGAAATCTTCTTGTCTGTTTACTTCCACCATACTCTTTAGTCTCTTCCAACTTCTCTTCCCAATGGCATAGTGTAACCAAAGCCCATTGGAGTAAGAAATACCTAGGAAATACCAGCTCTTCCTCTTGCTAGTTTATGACTTTGGACAATCTCCTTCACTTAACTTTAGTTTCCCCATCTATAAATTACTTTAGATGCCCCATCTGTAAGTTGGAGATTGTAATAATACATTGAGGAAGGATTAGTTGAGTTCTAAATTATATTATTACATGTGAAGCACTGGCACATAGTAGATACTTAATAAATGTTATTATCTAACCCTCTTAAGCCTTCAAGGGCTCCTCTTCCTCTGTCTGATCTTAAAGTGTCATTTGGCCTTCTTACTCTACACAGCATTCTCTGGCATCTCATTGACTCTTTTGGCTTCATCTCCTATCCTAAAGGCCAGTACTACCAAATTTAGTCAAAATGTCTCTCACGAAGTGCAAATTTAAATATTTCAGTACCTACTTGATAGCCCTCTGTATTTCCCATGGTCACTTCAAACTCACGGCCAAAACTGAACTCATCACTTTCTCCCCCTCCTCCCTCCACCCCAGATCAACTTGTAGTTTCTTTTGATTTACACATTCAGTTAGTAATACCACCAAATCATTAAAGAAAAAAATCTAAGTATACCCTTAAATATTTCCAGTCCGTACTACCCAGATCTAATGACCAAATCCTGCTGTTCTCCTTTCAGAGTACTTCCAATTTGTCTCCTCATCTCAATTCCTGTTGCCTCTGATTTGGTAAAGGCACTCATCATTTTGCAACTATATCACTATTGTGGCCTCCTAATTGATCCCGCTGTTTTTAGTCTATTTATCCAGTCAGCTCTCCAACATAATTTTTCTGAAAATCATATCTTTACCTACATTTTTTCACTGCTTAAAATCCATCGTTCGTTTCTCAGTGCCTTCAGGATAAATTCCTCACTCCTTAGCAGCTCACACAAAGCTCATCTCCTGCTACCTCTCTCTCTTCCATGTAGGCAGGCACCTTATACTCCATCTGTATTGAATGCTTTGCAATTTCTCAAATGCATCACCTTCCCAGCTCCTATGCCTTTAAACATATGTGCTCCCAGCCCCACTATTCTTCACCTGGTTCTTACCTACTTGTACTTTGAAATTCAGTTCAAGCAACACCTGTTGCTTATTCAGATCCTCTCAATGTGAATTGGAGGTCCCTCCCTTGATGTCCTCTGTTAGAGGACCTATCCCGCTGTATTATAACTTACCTACTACCACTAGACTATGAACTCTTTGAGGGCAAACTGTATATATACACATACTCTCTCACTCCTATATATGGTAAGTTTATTTTTACTAGGCAGTTAAGTGCTAGGGAGGACATTTAGAAATTTAATAAATAAAGGTCCCATTTAACCATCTCTTATTGATTTTGATCGTTTGTAAGAGCAAAAGCCATCTATCTTCGTTATATGTAAGCATCATTGAAACATATATAATATACTTAAAGTTTTCCATTTTTAGTGTTTACTGAGGCCCAGTTAATATTTTCACATTAAAAACTCATAACTACGGCCTAGGGTCTTATGTAAACCAACAATGGTTATACTTTGCTATAGAACAGTGTTTCTCAACCTCACCACTATTGACATTTTAGGTTGGGTAATTCTTTATCGTGGGGCCTAACCTGTGCATTGGTAGGATGTTTAGCAGCATCTCTGACCTCTACCTACTAAACGCTACATCAAATCCTTTCCCCCTGACAATAAAAAGTCTCCAAACATTGCCAGTGTCCCCTCAAATCACTTGAAAATCCCTGCTGTAGAACTCTAAATAGAAACTTAACTCATGAAATGCCTATCTCTTGTGCTCTACAAGAATCACCAATATATTTATTATATTCACTCTGGTTAAAAGCATACAGTATTCTTCTGATTTTTAAAGAATACTTTTCTCTTGCCTCACTCTTTTGAGAAACTTAAAAAAAAAAAGTATTCACTTGATCTTTACTTCATAAGCGCCACTACACATCTCACATCTGTCTGCCTTTTCCTGAGGAGCTGATTTAACCACTAAACCTTTTGCAAAAATGAGAGGAGTGGGGAGTTGAAATTTTTAGTGCTGTATTCCACATACTGGAAGCCTTAAAAATCATTACTGACAGCAGTCAGGAAGATGAGAGGACTTCTGTTAAGTTGTTATAGTTAAACTGTGGAAGTCTGAATTTGATATAAAGTGAAAACTTTTAGTCGAAATGCTTCTCAGATCTCAGAGTCCTTTGTGTTAGTTTTCCTTAATTTTGCCTCCTCTTCCTTTTTCTTCATTTCAGACAATCCATGCTCTTATGGGAAATGCTCTGCAGCCGTTACTGACTTCAGTGGGAGATGCAATAGAGGCCATAATCATCACCATGCATCTAGAAGATTTCTCTGGGTAATAACTTTTAATCAAAAGCTCTACCAACCTTTATGGCCTTTGTTTTTCATTCTCACCTTCACCTTGTCTCCCTAGGCTTCCTGCCATCTGGGGCCTGTTCCTCTTGTGATGTGGTTGGCCTCCAACCTCTCTGTACTTTATCCATTGTGCGTGCATTAGCAGATTGAAATTTTCAGTTCTTATTTTCATCATTTCTATCCTCTCATTGAAACATAACATCATGAAAGTCTACAGGATGTAACTTGGCACTTCAGGACTTTTGGAAGCTGTACCATCTTCCCTTTCCAATCTTTTTCCTTGCTTCTCACAAATATCCTCTACTTCAGCCTCTTTGTTAACCGCTGGCACAGGCATGGCATTCCCTATAGAAAATGTCCTGCCTCTACCACTGTGCTCCTCTGAGTCCTATTTTGGCTTTGAGAGAAAGCTCCTGCCCCACTCCTTCCAGGGTTGATTTTCCTTTCTCATAGTTGCCGAGGCAGCCTTAGCTGGTGATGTCACACTTAGCCATAGTTACTCAGGTATTATTCTATAGCTGTTTCATATGGGTATTGCTTATCCATATCCTATGCATCTTGAGAAAGGGAATCATAGTTTCTAACCCAATGTTTATTGAAACCTTTTTAAATAGAGTAAAATGGTTTTAGTTGAGTGTGTTAGAAAAGTGTCTATGGAGAATTTGCAGTGTTATTTGCACAGGCTTAGGGTGAGTTTTTAAACTTAACCATACACTATAGCTGAACATTCAAATATTAATATATTCCTAGCTGCTGTTTTTCAGTTCATCTGTTTCTTTTATATTCATGTTGTTGAAAAGAATATGCACTTTATTAAATTGTTAGCCACTACTTTAGCTGTTTTGTAGGAAAATTGATCATGTGATTATGTCACTGTCCTTTAGTTTTTCAAATCACTTATCATTTCATTTACATAATACTCTTTGAAGTGTCAAATGATCAGTCTCTATTTTTAATAATGGTATGAAGCACAAAAGGCTAAAGTGAGTCCTATAAAAAATGCAATAGTATTTGAAACTCAGTAGGAGATAGGAATGTAAAATTGCTGATTACCAATGTTTGGGAGGAAACTGGATTTTGTTCGAAAGTGATCTGAAATATCCCAGTTAGATCAATCATGAATGCTTCTGAAAAGAGGGCAAAAAAGGGGTAATTTTTGAAGGCTTACGTTTTAAGAAGAGTGGTCATATACTTTAGTAGTTGTATTGATGAGCAGGTACTAGTGCCTACAAATAACACATTAGACATTGAAAGTTGGTTTCCAGATAGGTATGTTTTCTCTAGTTTGCTTAACTACAAGTGAGCCAGATTAGTTCTTTAAGTGGTAGGTTGCCAAGAGTTTAAAGCATTATTTTAAGGTGCATAGCATTGTGTGTACTTTTTTTTCCCCAGATGGCTTTTGATGACTGTTTCAGTTCAGTATACATAAAACAGCCATTTGAGATTCTGCTGATAGCCGTTCTCCATACATGGCCATCTAGGAGTGTGGAACACTCCTGCTTTATAGTGTAGTTAAAGCATTCCTCCGTCCCGTGGTGGTAATTTTCCCGTTTTCTAGAATCTTGTTATTGGTAATTATGTCATATCATTTTCATGTACGTATGACTTGTATAAGGTGAAATCGGATTAAACTATTCAAACAGTTAGTCACCTTTTGCGGGGTTTACAATTAACTTTACCCAGAGAGTTTCATCTTTGTCCTGGGTTCCTAAGAAATAACCTCTAAAACCTTGGAATTTCCTCAGTGATTTAAGTGTCTTTGATGAAGGCTCCAGACCACAACTACCTAACAGGTTATGCTGATGAGTGATGCTTGGGTGGGGGTTGGCCAGGCCAGAGAGACCTACCACATGACATCAGCCCAACCTCAGTGGTGGGAGGCTAAAGTGAGTTCAGTCACAGGCAGTGAGTGATTCAATCAATCTTGCCTGCGTAATGAGACCCCAAACAAACTCTGGACACTTAATCTCCATGGGCTTCCTGGCTGGTGAAAGACATTGGTGTTTGGGAGGGTAGCATGTTCTTTGGAGCATGGAAGCTCCACCTTGGGAACCCTCCTAGACCTTGCCCTATATGTCTCTTCATTTGTATCCTTTTTGCTGTAATAAAACTATAATCGTGAGTATAGCTCTTTCCTGAGTTCTGTGAGTCATTCTAGTGAATTAGCGAGCCTGAGAGAGTAGTGGGAGCCAGCAGGTCAAAAATGAGGGGGCTCTGGAGACACCTGAGCTTATGGCTGGCATCCTGAGGGGATATAGGGAACCCCCAAATTTGTAGCCAGCAGGTCAGAAGGGAGAGAGGCCTGGGGATCCCCAAGCTTGTGGCTGGTATCTGAGGTCTTGTGTATACTTGGCAGTCTAGAGGACTGCTCTTTTAACCTGTGAGATCTGGCCTTACTCTGGTGGTTACGGTCATAGGAAGGAGTACTGCATTTGCAGTTGGTGTCAGAACAAAAGCGGAATTGAGTAATTTGACTTACTAGCACTTTTCTTTACCTTATAATAGGGCCAGCCCCCAAGGTCACAATTGCAAAAATAATAGTGAACACCTGCCCCTCCAGGCCATCCACAGCTTAAAAAAAAAAACAGTTGCCATCGATTCCAACTCATGGCGACCCCATGTGTGTCAGAGTAGAACTGCTCCATAGGGTTTCAGTGGCTGATTTTTTGGAAGTAGATCACCTTTCTTCTGAGGCACCTCTGGTGGACTTGAACTGCCAACCTTTTAATTAGCAGCTGAACGTGTTAACTGTTTGCGTCACCCAGAGACTCCATACCTAGTCTAGGTAAAAGGAATAAACCTTCTAGGCCAATCTGATATGTAGTGTGGCTATAGAATCTCCTATCTAAAATGTAATCCTCAACAGTTTCCTGGTATTTGAAATATATTTAGTAGGAACAGTGTGTTTATTTCCAAATTAGAAAAAGCTTAAAATGTAAATGTCTGATCGACATAGCACATGGATTGAAACTCATCCCTTTAACATAAAATGACTCACGCTATGAGCCGGAATCGACTCGACGGCAGTGTGTTTGGTTTTGGTTTTTGGTCATGTCTGATTACAGTTTTGAATGGGGTGGAGGAGGGGCTTTAAAAGTAGAAGGACCTTAGATCCTTGAAATGAAGGATAACAATCTCCGAGGAGTAAAGAGGACACAAACATACAAAGTTTAGTGACACGAAGATGAACATCTACTACTTTTCAATTGTGCGATGGGTTAGTCCTTCCTTCAGCAGGCTGTTATAAAGATCCTGAAATTTTTGCACAATTACTACTGCAACTTTACCTTTTAACGTAATTGGTAAAACAGCTTTAGCAATCACTAAGCAAGTTTTGTATTCTAGTAAATTTACATAAAGTTTATAATCCTCACTCAGAGGATAATACATATTTCAAAATTTTGTCTGACAAACATAAAAAGAAAAAACATAAATTTTACCTATGTTGACACATGTTTATGGAACTTGTTTTAGTATGTTATTTTCTAGTCTTCAAGGACATTGTTTCAACTGACCACATTACAATCCTTGAGGCGATCATCCAGAGTAGTGCCAAGATAACAGCTGTGCTTTTGATAAAGCATAAGATGTGAAAAAGATTGGCATCTTTTTTTTTTGCAGCCTAGCCTTTTGGATTGACAAAACCCCAACAAAGGTAGCCCATGCTGTGGTCTGAATCTGGGAAAACCAAACCCACTTGAAGACTGCAAGCAGCACTCCATCCTGTGATAGGGGAAACAGAGATGTTCCACCGTGCACTTGTCAAAGGCGTTACCATTGTTAGGACATGCTTTCACACACCTAAACAAAACCCTTTCCTGCAGGAATGTAAACCTAATTTCTCTATTTAGTCTGTTTCTGGAAGTAGAGGACCTCTGGTTAGCATCTGTCTTAGTTATCTAGTGCTGCTGTAACAGAAATACTGCAAGTGGATGGCTTTAACAAGCAAATTTATTTTCTCACAGTTTAGGAAGCTAGAAGCTTGACTTCAGGGTGCTGGCTCTAGGGGAAGCCTTTCTCTCTCTGTCGACTCTGGAGGAATGTCCTTGTCTCTTCTGAGCTTTTGCTCCTGAGCAATCTTTATGTGGCTTGGCATCTCTCTTCTGCCATCTCTGCCCACTCACTTGCTTGTTTAATCTCTTTTATATCTCGGAAGAGATTGACTCAAGACACACCCTACACTAATCCTGTCTCATTAACATAGCAAGGACAACCCATTCCCAAGTAGGATTATAACCACAGGCATAGAGGTTAGGATACAACACATATTTTGGGGGGACACAATTCAGTTCATAACAGCATCCTACTTACAATAACTATTGCCACACTGAGAATAATTTTGTTCAACACGTTCTCCTGCTCTTGGCATTTTAGTCGTATCTGTTGCTCTTCTCTAGACCATCATCAGCTTCTCTATGTAATTCTCAGTATGTGGAAACAATTAATTTTTAAAAAAGTTTCAGCACTATGTCGCCATTGATCTCATCTAATTAGTTAATTGCTATGAGGTAATTTCTAATTTTAGTATAACTCTTCTTTACTATAAATATTGCACAGTTTTAATATATTCTTTAAAGAACAATTACAAACATTTATAAATTATAAATAGTATTTCATGGAGCCTCAGCTGGCATCATCTGTTGATCCAAATTAAAGCCTTTCTAAACCTCATCATCTGGAGGAAAAAATTGCATACCATGTGTATTGTTATATAACCAATTTCACAGTCAGAATTCTGCTATTGGACTGATGAGATTAAATAGCACAAGAGCTGAGTTTTCTTTGCCAAGGATTTGTTTAGGGCAGGCAGCATTTTCTGCCATTGCAAAGTGTAAAGTGCTATCTCAGGATCTAGTATTGATGTATTCACTTACAGGGCAAGACATATCAGTGAATTGAGAGTTGTAAGGGTGAGAGAGACCTTGAGAGGTAATAGAGTGCGTATGGCACTTGGATCATCCAAGACAGATGGTTGTGTACTCCATTCTTAATCTTTAGGCAAATGGATTCTGAAATTTCTTCACTGATCCTCCCAGCATGTAAAAGCAGTCTTTAGAATAATATTGAACATCATTTTATGTTCTTTAACTCTTAGCAAAAATAAATGATGCCTTCTATATCATTAAGGGAAAAAATAGTGCACAATTGAAATCTAAAAACCAGAAGAGGAAAAAAAATCCAATAGTGCCGTTTAGTGCATTGGTACTGAAAATTGCTGTTTGTTTGTTTTGTTTTCTCCTTTTGCAGGTCGTCCTACAGCTCGGGAACACTTGATGTGCCTTGTTCTTTGTACATGAAGGAGCTGCAAGGTTTCATTGCCAGAGTTATGAGTGACTACTTTAAACACTTTGAATGCTCGGATTTTGTCTTTGACAACACTGAAGCTACTGCCCATAGAGCAATTGAACTTTTTGTCCGCCATGCCAGTCTCATAAGGCCTCTTGGTGAAAGTGGGAAAATGCGACTTGCTGCTGATTTTGCACAGGTAAATCGATGCGTAAGGAAAAAAGTGTTTCAGCCTCAGTATTAAATGAGAGACTAAATATGTATTCTTCAGTGTTTTAGAGTTACAACATGAAGGAAAGGAAGCCCATTTAAACCTAATTGTTAGAAAAAAGAAGAATTTAATAATACGGTTATACTAGTCGTTTTTTTCTTTGTATTTAATTGAAATAATCATATCTCATCATTGATATTTCTAGGTTAAGGTGAAGTAGTTTATTCCACAGTAAAGCAACATTTTCTACTTTTATGTAATATGGGGCTTTCTCAGTACTTTACTGTCCCACAGGATCAGTATTGATAAGAATAATTGATTGACCTTGATGGAAAATGATATAGGCAATGAAATAACCTTTCAAACAGGGGAAAAGGGGCCTCCTGGTTGTCATGTAAAGAGAAAGCTTGTCAACACAGCTGTAATCCTCTAGTGGCCACTCAACATTCCAGGACAGCGTTTTAATTCATTTTGATTCACAGTGGACCAGATATAGATGGAGTCTGATTATTTGGTCTCCCTTTATTAAACAGAGTACATTTTCTGTCTGTGGCCAGCCTTGAAATCATTTCAAGCTGTCTGATGTGAGTGATGAAGGATGACATTAAAATATCAGAACCATAATCAACTCTTTTAGAAAGTTTTTTTCCCCCCTTTGTCCTTTAGACAGATTCTAAAAAGCCTTTCAATAGTATCAGAAAAAGAAGAAACACACCAAACATACTTTCTTATTAAAAGATTCAGAAACCCAGCTGACTCTAATTTACATAGCATGTCAAGGGTGAATTCTTTTTTTTAAGCTTCCAAAGCTGTTGGCTCTACTATTCTAAATAGTTATTCAAAAAAAGGGGTATTCCTATGGTTTGCCAGATCCTCCCTGCCTATAAAAAACTATAAATGTTAGTGTCAGTATTTGTCCCTGAGTGTATCTGGGAGCGTGTCTGGTTCATTGTTCCTGCACCAGGAAGGGAAGTGGGCCTCTGGCACCAGGGTGATGGTTGTCAGACATTCCCTTACACATGACATGATTTGCAAAAAGAAACAGGTATCTCAAACCCCATGTTTTTAGCGCCAGCCTCTTTGCATGTTGATTGGTCCAGCAGTTAGTCATTTTCAGTAGTGCCTGAGGCCAGTAGACCACAGAAAAGAGCCTCCTTTGGGGAAATATGCCTTTAGTAGCCTCAGCATGAAAATAAAAATTAGTTGTTACCATTACTGTGGCTCCTTTGATCTTTACATTTTTATTAACTTCCTTCTTAGGCACCTGTACATTTTGCTTTCCTGTTATAGGTAAACTTCAACTTAAAGAGAATTATAAATAAATAGTACATTACTTGTCCCTACTGGGGTTACAGACTGCTTATTGCAATGAAAACACAGTGATGTACCAAGACCTGTTAAAAACATAGTAAGCTATACTCAAATGCATCTCTGTTCTCCTTTTCCCCTTTCCTCCTTAATTTTGTTTTTCATCTTCTGTCCTCTTCTCTCCGCTGGGCTTCCTCCCCCACCAGTGTATTTGCATTTTGCTCCAGCTGGTTCTTGAGTCACTTTCCTGGAGGCAGCACTTCAAGTCCAATTAGAGTGGCAGCCGAGCAGGAGATGGCCAAAACGAGCGTGCTGTAGGAAAGAGGGCTTTTATTTCTGTTTTATTTTTTTTTAATGATATGTTTCCTTACAAGTCTTGAAAGGTGGAAAGTATTATCCTTTAACCCTTGCTACTGCAGCTAACACCTGCTCAAACTGTGTTGTGGCCTGTGACAGGGTTGAGCTTCCACCTTCCTAAAACTGCATTATTCAGAATTTTATTGAGCATTCCTTCTTTCTTAAGACAAGTTGCCCAATAAACTGGATTTTTACCAGGTCCCTTCCCTTAAGTTAAATGAAACTCATCAATCTGTATTACCAACTTAGGCTCAAACAATTCTCTTTTCCATATCTTAAATACTGAAAAGCTGTTTATACACACAGCATTTACTCAGTGTTGAAAGTGTAGTTTTCAGCCCTGCCGTGGCAGTTGGTTGCTGCAGTCTGTGTGGTAGAGGAATCGGATTCCTTTGTTTACCCCTGTTGAGTGTGTCCCACTTTTCGACCATCCCACCGCTCACCGTGGAGATGGCTCCCAGATCCTGGCGGTCACATGCATAGGAAAGACAGGTGGAAGCATTATCATAGTCATTTGTTACCACGAACTTTGGCAAATATTGTCCAGCTCTTATATCATGATTTCCCCTTGGTTTTTGTTGCATGTGGTTTGCTTTCTTCCCACAACTGCAGTTGCCTGTGTTGTACCTCAGCTTCCAGAATCATGCTTGGTTAGAAGTGTTTTTCTGGGGTCATTCAAAACACTTAAATAGCATTACCCTGACATTTGTATTCATGACAGGCATCAACCAGGGACTAGAAAGCCTTTCAAGTGTCTCATTATTGAAAGTTCTGTCAATTTTTATTAAAAATTAAACAAAACCATTGAGGTCACTGAAATCCAGAATACACAAATACTCTATGGGTTTTGAAAAGTGTTCTTGTGATAAAAGTACCTGCTACTCTGGCATAAATATCAGAAAGAGAAAAAACTCAGAAAGGGACCTTTAAAATAGGTTTGGAGAATACTGATTTTTTTTTTTTTTTTTTTTTGGTATAAAGCCCCATTGCAAAAATCAAATAATGACACATTTGATAGATTTAAGAATCCTAACTTCTCCCCGCTGGCACCATTGCACAGGTAAAAGAGACAGTAGTTGCAGGGTACCATCTGCAGGGCTCATGATAAGGGAAGTACCCAGCATACAGCCCTCCCCGAGGAATCCAGGTCAGCAGCATGAGGTGGTTTCCTACAGGTAATTAATTCCCTACTGTGACCACATGGTCTCTGTGTCTACACTAATCACACAGCAGTTCCAAAAGCACTAAGCTTGTCTAAGACCACTGGGGTCCTGCTGACTCGGAATCTCTTTGGGGACTTGCTCACACAGCCCTCTGAAGCACACACGCCCCCTACCCCTCAGTGTCTTTATCTTCCCTGAGGGAAAAGATGGCTATTGAAGTTGGCATTGAATTATTTACTCAGTAGTACTCCCGGCAGTTTCTATTTACAGGTCTTCTGGTGCCCTTTAAGTATATTTTTATATCTGTTTCTCTCTGTGCATGAAAATATAAATTTAGAAAAGAAAACAAAATAGTCAAGCATCTAATTTGTTCTAATTCCCGTTTCCTCTTCTTCTTCCGAACAATGTCAGGACAGGAGTGCTCTAGGAGTATCCAGAGATGCCCTGTGGTTAACCAAATGTCTTGTGGTGGGTAAGGAGCAGCTATGTAATTAGTTCACCATGCCTGCAGCTGACTACTCAGTCCTTCCAAACAGGAGGGCTGGAGAGGCAGTTGTACATGCCATTTTTATATCCACAGCTAATTGCAGAGTCACCTCTTCTAAAAGGAACACTTCTGCCGTTTAAAAACATGGCCTTTATTGTGTAATGGAATTCTGGCAGAAGAAAATTATTTTCAATACCCTGAGTGTCCTTTAGGGATGAAAAATTTATTTTGAAGATTTAACATTTTATAAATGTCCTATAAATGTAGAGATCTGCATCATCACAGATTTCATAGCCATTTGAGGTCATATTCTCTCATATAGTAATTTTTTTCTTGCCAATGATTTGTTGTGACATTTAGACCTGCTCACCCTTACCTATTGCCATCAAGTCGATTCCAACTCACAGCAAGCCTATAGGACAGGGTAGAACTGCCCCATAGGATTTCCAAGGCTGTAAATCTTTACGGAAGCAGACTGCCACATCTTTCTTTCATGGAGGGCTGGCAGGTTCAAACTGCTGACCTTTCGGTTAGCAGCTAAGAGCTTAACCACTGTGCCACCAGGGCTCTTCAGTCCTGCTCAAGAGCTAAGGAAAAGTTGTTTGGTTTAATCTTTGAAGACAATGAAGCCAACGAGGGAAATTGAAAAAAAAATTGACAAAAAATTTCATGAAAAATACTTAAAAAGCATCAAATATATATATATGGTTAAGTATATGATTGGTATTACCAAATCAAAGATACACAATAATCACATTTTTACTTTGTGGTTAGTGTAAAGTAAATTACGCATTCTGAAGGAAACCAGAAACCCACATCTAGTGAATAAACTAAACAGGTCCCCAAGAACAGCCCATCACCCAGTCATTGTCTTTGGAGTTAAGAATGCTAGCTTACAGCTGTTCTGTTCTGTGTTGTCGGCAGGGTCCTGACTTTTCTTCCTTAGGTTTTTCTCTTTTTATTATTTATTTTTTCTTCTGAATTTTAGAGAGTTTTCCAGCCACTTAAGGTTTTCCTCTAGGACATAAAGTATAAAGTCTGTGTCTTCTATATGTTAAGGGAGAAATAAACCTGGCCACTGTTCATCCTCAGGACTCTTCCAGGAAGCTGTACTTCAGTTCTTCTTGAAACTCAGCTCAGATATCTGATCTAGCACTTATTTTGCCTATAATCATTATATAAGCAAGTAATCAATATATATGTGTGTGTGTGTACACATATATACCTTTCTTACGATTTTGTTGAATAATGATCATATTGTTTAAATAAATAAATATCCCCTTCACTAAATTTGAGAGAGCTACTTAAAGACAAGATAGTCTAATTAATCTTCTTATCCCTATGCTTAGCTCAGTGCTTTGCAATTAATAGGAGGTCAAAAAAGGATTGTTAAATGAATGTTTTACTAGGTCTCCATGGTCTTCAAGTGGCAGGGAGACTTTGAGCAGTTTTTCAGAAGCATGGCCAGCAGGACAGAAACCTCACTTCCTTTTGTATGTTTTTCTTGAAGAAAGATGCTGCACCACCAGCCTGTTCTCAGCCATTTTCTAGACTATTCTTTGTCAGTGTCTTATTTACATATAGCAAGATCGAAGAAACAGGGCCACATATGCAAGAAGTTTGCATATGCACTTTGTAAATAAAGAACAGGTATCCTAAAACTCCAGTTAATTAGAAGCAGGATTTCTAGTCAAATGAGGAAAATAAAGAGAAATGAAATCAATATTTGCTAAATTCTTGAAGCAAACTAATACACAAATAATTAAAAAGGGGGAAATGAAAAAAATACTGATAATAATTGCTGACATTTAACTAGCACTTTGGGTATGCCATGCATGTAACACTTTATGGAATTACGTATTTAATTTGTGTACTTCTGTGAAGGTAGGTATTATTATCATTTCCATTTTACAGAAAAGAGACCCGAGGCTTAGAGAGGTTATATAAGTTATCCAGGGCTGCACACCTAGTAATTGCAGATTTGGAATTCCAGAGTCTGTGCTTTTAGTCCCTGGGCCACACTGACTGGTAAAAATTGTCATTCTTTCTCTTTAGTGTAAGAAGGCTTTACAATACAGGCACACAGTCTGTCTTAAAGATCTTTTTTCTGATTTTTCTACGGAGAAAAGATCTAAACTGCCTTCTCTTACATAACAAATTTTTTTTCCTATTTTCATAAAGTAATTGCCTAATCTGTGCCCCTTTAATAAATTAATGCGAAAGTTATCTAAGCTTTTACCTTTTAATAAATTTAATTGGCCTTCAAAACTTGCCTTACAGTCCAGATACTTTACTACAAGCTACAACTTTGTATGATCCAGGTGTGTCCCGAATTCACCTTAGGATTCTGATGTAAAAAGCTGTGGAATATCTTTTAATCTTTCAGATGGAGTTGGCTGTGGGTCCATTCTGCAGACGAATATCTGATTTAGGAAAATCCTATCGAATGCTGAGGTCATTCAGGTGAGACATAAGTCTCTTATCTCTGTTAAAACATTAATTTCTTATTAGCAAATGAATCCTTTTCTCCTATTCAGGTTTAACTGTATGAAATTGCCAATATTCAATCACTATTGACCCACAACAGGAGTCCTGGTGGTGCAGTGATTAAAGTGCTCGGCTGCTATCTGAAAGGTCAGTGGTTCAAACCTACCAGCCACTCTGCAGGAGAAAGATGTGACAGTCTACTTCTGAAAGATTTATATAGCCTTGGAAACGTTATGGAGCAGTTCTGCTCTGTCCTGTAGGGTCGCTGTGAGTTGGAATTGACTCGACGGCAGTAGGTTTGCTTTTTGGTTTATTGACCCACAACAATTGCAGTTTCATATGATTCATCTTAAAAAGTTATTCAAATCAGAAACCTATATAGAATTATATGCTACGACAAATACACTAGTGTGTGTGTGTGTGCGCGCGCGCGCATGTGTGTGTTTTCTTTTTGAGTTACAATTTACAAGATTGATCTGGTAAGTTTTATTATGCTCTCCCTAGGGGGATTTTTCTACTCCCCATTCTTATCGTAATGTATTGAGGCAGTATATTGAATAAAGTATTGTATAGACTTTTTTCTGTAATTTTCATTCATTCATTTATTATTTTCAACCCAAACCTACTTCCAAAAGTTGTAGCTTACATTCCAAGATACAGATATAACAAAACTATTGAAGTAGAGTAGTAAAAGAACTGAGCCCCATGATGAAGTGCAGGGAAGGACTATAAATGCAGTAGATAACTTAGGCTAAAGATGGCTGATACAGTGAAGCACAAAAATGAGCTTCCTAGAAACCAGTTCTAAAAGAGAAGCCATGAGTTAATTTCACATTCATTTCTAAGAATCTATCAGTTTAACAGAGAAAAAACCCTTTTTAGCTCTGAATGCCTGAATAGAGTTTTATCAATTCAGAAGTTAAGGAACATTAAATAGCTTAATGACTATAGTCTTCAGTAGCAGATTTTAGAAAATAAGGAGATGTTGTTCACATGGCTGTTCATTATATAAACCAGAACTTCCCAAACTTTTTCATATCATGGCACACATAGAAAACGTATACATTCAAAAAGGTGACTAACCTGAGGTCTCAGGAGATCAACATCTCGGCATACTTACAAACAGTTTGTGACCACAGCATACCAGATGGGAAGGCTTGATATAAACCATCTATAATATCCAAGAGGTTAATGGCCTTTGAATATATTTCTATAAAAATAAACAGACTCTAGGCATGCAGTTTTTTAGAAACTAACTCAATACTGGAATCTAGAGTAATCAATAAGCAGTATGTCCTGTAAATGATTGCTTTGATCTCTTAGGTCAGCCAAGCTCTTCATAGTAGAAAATGCAGGTGTAATGTCACTTGAAATATAAGTATCCAGTACTATTTGTTGAAAGGGGAGCCCTATGCTTTATATTGCTCATTTGTAGTTGGCAAAGGTGATCTTTTTTTTTTTTTTTTTTTAATGCTGACACAGAGTCTGAATTATATTTTTTCCCAAATGAAGGACCACTGTCCATCTGTCCGAGGTGGGTTCCAGAAAAACTTAAGGTGGGACCACAAGTTCAGGTACCTTCTTTGGATCAGCTCACATCTTTAAAAAAGTATTTAAATACTTTGTTGAAGCACTACTCAACGTGGAAGAATTGAAAGATGATGATGTCCTGAGGTTCCTAAACCACCAGTCATTTGTCTGTGCCATAAAAAAAACCTTAATAAAATCCCTGTAAAGTCATTTACGTTGAGTAAGATGGTAACACAGCAATCCCAGCCAGGTGATAAAAATGCTTCCCTGGCTACCTGAATCAGTTAGCATACTGAATGGTATTAACCAACTAGTTATTGGAAAAGGTATGGGAAAAGCTGGGATTTGGGATTTGTTATATTAAGATTAGGCTGTTATTGCTAATAGTCCCGGGTCCCATGCTTAGTTGTTTGTTGCATTTGTATGTATTAAAATCGTACTTATCCTTCTGTTTGCTAAGGCAGGATGGCCTTTAGCCAAGTGCTTTTAAAGTGTTATCACATTATGGAGATACAAGTTCTACGGGTAGGTTTCAGATAAGACCAATTCTGTTTTAAGTCATTTAAGATGGGAATGTTCTTCCAACCCTCCCAATTCTCCCATTGGAAGGAGAATCTCTAAAAGAATATTTAAAGTTTGAGTGTTGGCACCTTATGTTGTTGTTGTAATTGTTATGAGTGTGTGCTTTTGAGTCGATTCCAACTCATAGTGACCCTATATGACAGAGTAGAACTGACCCAGAGAGTTTCCTAGACTGTAATCTTTATGGAAGAAGACTGCCACATCTTTCTCCAGCAGAGTGGCTGGAGGGTTCGAGCCTCCAACCTTTCAGTAAGCAGACAAGCACTTAACCACTGCACTAACAGAGCTCCTTTTTGACACCTTAGCACCTATTTTTGGAATTAAAAATTAATGATTGATCAATGCATAATAAAAAAAAATCCTGCATTTTTTATACTTAATTCCTCATGGGGCAATGATCAGTCTTAGATGAGTTTCAAACTTCCAATCAAGACTCACAGTAAGAGATATTTTATATTACAGTCTGGTATACACTTGCATGCAAACCTGCAAACACACTCAAACCTATACACATACACACACACATGCACCCATGCATGTCCACGCACACCTATGTGTGTTTCATGAAACAGTAATTATCCTTATTTCATATAATATTCTCCGACATCTCTATTTTATTTGATTATTTTAGCCTACAAAATTGGTTTGCATCCAACAGTTTCTCAGTTTTCTCACAGGGCGTTTAGCTCTTAAATTTTTGTTGCTCTAGTGACAGGGAGCAGAGTGTTTTTTCTTTCTACAACTGGTTTATGCCCTTTTCTCCTGGGATTCTGGTATGCCTGAGCTTCCTCCTGCAGATGGCTGCTTAGCTCTTCAGGCCTCAGGCACATATACATAATAAGAATCATTGTATCTTGCCTATGGAGCATTCTCTAAAACTTGAATTATGTGAAAAACTCCAACAGAGATTTATATATGTCAATATATTCCTTCAGCTATATTGAATCTGGGAGTCCCTGGATGGTGCATATGGTTAACATGGTCACTGCAAACCAAAAGGTTGGAGGTTCAAGTTCACCCAGAAGAAAGGGCTGGTGATCTACTTCCAGAAAATCAGCCATTGAAAACCCTGTGGAGCACAATTCTACTCTGACACACACGAGGTCACCATGAGTTGGAAATGGCTCAACGGCAACTGGTTTTTATATCGAATCTGCAGAAATCTTTTGAATTGAGGCTAGCACCTTCTCAGTTGTTTCATGTGACTTGGGCAGCTATTTTATAGACTTGAGGACTAACTGGATCAAGAAATAAAATAAAAAGATGGTGTATTCTGGGATTCAGATCCAGCCCTGGTCTACAAAGGATGTTGTAGGTCCCAACTACCACAGCCTCCACCAGGCTGAGTCTAGCACAGCTGGATGGTGCCAGGCTACCACCACCGACTGCTCTGACAGGGATCACAATAGAGGCTCCTGGACAGAGTGGGAGAAAAATGTAGAACAAAATTCTAACTCACACACACACACACACACACAAAAAGACCAGACTTACTGGTCTGACAGAGAGTGGAGAAACCCTGAGAGTGTGGCCCCCGGACACCCTTTTAGTTCACTAATGAAATCACTCCCGAGGTTCACCCTTCAGCCAAAGATTAGGCAGGTTCATAAAACAGAGTGAGACTAAATGGGCACATCAGCCCAGGGGCAAGGACCAGAAGGCGGGAGGGGACAGGAAAGCTGGTAATGGAGAACCAAAGGTCAAGAAGGGAGAGTGTTGACATGTCTTGGGGTTGGCAACCAGTGTCACAAAACATTATCTGTATTAGTTGTTTAATGAGAAACTAATTTGCTCTGTAAACCTTCATTTAAAGCACAATAATAATAATAATACTCCATTTGTTAAAAAATTTAAAAAAAGGATGTTGTAGGTCCCATCTTTTGAAAAGAGGAGAGCTGTGAATACCTGGGAAAGCCCCAGTCCTAGCCAGTTTCTCTGCCACTGTCACAGGAAGCGAACAGACTTGAGAACGCTCACCTGTGCAGAGGGTCCTACTGAGTCCCTTCCTAGAGAGGTGGAAAGTCAGTAGAGAGTAATCTTTATTCTGAGAACTTAATTATAGGCCTTCTATTTTGCCAACCTACAAAAAAATTGTTAGGGATCTAGCTCTTCTCCAAAACTGCAGTGGAATGGCCCACCCTTTTTAATACTTGCTACTGCGTTTCTTCCTTCCCCTCTGTACTGGGGGCTGTGACAGGAGCTGACATCATCTGCCATGGTGTACCTATTAGACTTTGGCTCTCACTCATGAGCTTCTCACCAAAGGTTCTGAATCATACCAGAATGAGCTGAATGGTGGCCAGTAGGGGAACAAGTAAAATATGCCATGTTCATAGGATCAAATGTTTGCAGCCATTAACAATGATGTTGTTCGCTAGAATCTAATTACATGAGAAACACTTCCTAAGACATCTACATGAAAAAAATAGGCTGCTAAACAGTAAATGTGCTATGATCCTTTCGTTTTTTTTTTAAAAAACTATTATGTGTTTATGTGAAGAAGAAAAGCCAAGAAGGATAAACGCTAAAATGTTGTCTTTGGACAGCAGGATTGTCACTAGTGGTTTTTCTTTTAGGGATTTTGTAATTTTTCAAATTTTCCACCTTGATTATGTATTATTGTTGTAGTCAGAAAAGTGAATAAATGTTATTGCAAAATGTCTCTTGAATTGTTTTCCCCATCTAAAAATAACAAGGGAACAAAAACTTAATATAAAATATACTAAAACATTATCCAATAAAGGGGGCAGGAAAACAAGAAAAACAGGCAGCCAAGCCACCGGAGCCCAGCAGGTTGCAGTGGCCACGGAGGGCGGCAGTCTGAATTAGAGGCAGCAGCTGCAGGGACAATAACAGGCTCTATG